AATTCCTCATCTCAGTTAGTGGGCAGAGTGTTAAATTCCCATGTATTCGGTTACTCCCAAGAGCACCATTGATAAAATGCACAGCCAATTGAAATGGAACTTGAGACCTTTATGCACAGCCAGATCCCGTGCTGTGGATTTAGTTCAAGTCTGGAGATGCAGTGGGGACTGGCTGTCAGGTCAGCAGGCTTCTCCCCCAGGTCTTCTATTTACCAGCAGGCCCACGGCCTTAGCCAGGAGGGAGCTGAACCACTTCAGTCCTTCCCAGAACCACATCCTCAGAAGCTGACAACTTTCACGATACTTTGAGATCCTGCCAGTGGTGAGTGGGTCATTTCTGGGAACGCGGCTTTGGGGATAGCTCTCAGGATCCCTAAGTGGCACCCACTTCGTGTCCACAGGAGGTGTGGGTTTTATTGGCTGTGATGCCAAGGAGGTTCTTACCTGCAGGGACCAGCCTGGGTGGCAGCCAACCAAGCTCCTTGGAATGTTTTCTAGTCCCGGAGAAGAAGGCGGCTGTTGAGTCTCTACAGTTCTGACCACTTATACTGAGGTGCGTCTTTGTCTGATGTGATTCCTGTGCCCGTGACAGAGACCACACACTTTCATAGATGTCACATACTATCAGGTATGGCCCAGATGGTCAACTCAGTGTCCAAGATTTTACAAACTTGGCTCTTCAAGGAGGCTGCATGGTGTGTTGGTAATGAAATTCGGCTCTAGAGGCAGACTTTGTGCATTTGAATTCTGGCTCTGCCACTCCTGAGCAGCACACCCTTAGGAAAGTTATTCAGCTTCTCTGCGCCTCATCTGGAAAAGGAGGATGACAGTAGTACCTGCCTAGAAGGCAGCTGTAAAGATAAAATGTTTAGCATACAGTAAGCGCTTGGTCAGTATTCGTTGTTGTAATTATTGGGTGGTACATGGGTGCGATGGCCTAATGGCGAGTCTGTCAAGTTTGGGAAGGGATTTCAGTCATCCTACTAAATAGCCATGTGTGAGTGCTGAGAGAGTTGTCTTCCAGAGTGTGTTCTTTATATTTTATCTCCTTTCTGTCCTTTATATTTTCAATACCTGTTCTTTTCATCTGAACCTCCTTTGCTTATCCACCAGTCCCCTGCCCAGGAGCAAAGGATATGCAGTTAAAATCGGGCAACCACAGTTATCAGCCCAGCTCAGCCACTTGCTGCCATGTGAGCATAAACAGGTTACTGAACCTCCTAGAGCAGAAGTGGAGAATTTGGGATGACACAAAGCTGCTGACTGTCTCATAAAGGTGGAGTGATCATGCATTCTATTCACCTGGCATAATGAAAGAAATTGGAAATACTTGGTGATTCTCCACTGGAAAGAAAGACTGACCTATGAGTGAAAAAGAATCCAAGCAACTTTTACTGGTTTTCTCTCCACCCTCCCTTCGAGGATAGTGGGAAAAGCACCTGCTTAGGATGTGTGTGTTGGGTACCCAGCCCAGAGCAAGAACTAAAAAGATTGAATTTCTCTACTGCTGGATTCCAGTGCGTTGGGCAACCCGAGGGCTCTGTTCCTGTGATACTTGCAGCACCCTACTTTACGGGAGTTGGGTAGTGAGTGTGCACTCTGACAAGTGCTGTCAGTTGTCCTGGCTTGACAACTCATTCCCTGGTGACCTCTCTTTCTCACCTTTCCATCTTACAGAATATGGAGCTTGGACTAAAAGAGCTTTAGGTTTCTTACAGCCTTACCATGATACAAAGATGTGGAATTAGACCCACTCTGTCTTTCCCATCACCCAGTTCATTTTCTTCACAATACTTGATGCTTTCTGTTCAGTTTTTATTTGTTTTGTTTTATTTTTTTACCCACCCCCTGCTGCCTGTCCCTACTTTTGGGCCCCTAGAAAGTAAGCTGCATGAGAAGGGGACCTTGTTTGGACTATTTTAGTTGCTTAATAAATATACGCATGCACATATAGACATGTAAGACTGCATTATAATGTAGTTAAATACATTTGTCTACAGAGATTTAGGGAGTGGGTTGATTATTCTTCTCTATTCCCCACCTGAAAATATAACATATTCTTATTTGGAGATTTAAAGAATTGAATTAAGAATGGTTGTACTGTCTGTCTTAAAACTGAACCAAAGTAGCAGACCCAGAGTTCTCACCTGTGTGTACATGTATTATCAAAGGACAGTTTTAACTCCTAAAATCAGAGCAAGCCCACAAGCTTAGGGCTGAGGACAGTTGACCATAATGGCACCGTGCCAAGTATCTGCAGCGTAGGTTGGAATCCACTTTGTTCCGTCTATATACATGGTAGAAATGGTCGGCAGGAGGCAAAATATAACCCTTAGAATTCTGCTCACACATATTACTGAGATTTCATATTACTCTTATTATTTGGCCACAAAAATGGGCGTAATCCTTGTTGGCTTTAACATACCTACTAGTATTGCTTTCGCTATCCATCTTGCAAAATATAAGACAAGGCCAGAGCTTAAATTAAAATCCTCAGCTTCTTATCTCCTTCCCACAGGAAAGCAAATCTGTGTTGAAAACCGTAAAATTAAGAAGAGAGCAAGGATAGCATAATTTAGCAAAAATTCATGGCACCAGATTCTGAGCTATATGACTGGAGGGACAGGTCAGACATTAAGAAGATGCTGCCTGCTAATGCAGGTTCCTTAAGGTGGTGCTCTGGAAACAGGAAAGGCATGCAAAAAAATACATACATCTTTCCAGAAGATTTCTGCAGTGCTTACTACGACCACCCTAAAAAAATATCTTTGTGAATTCTTTGGCAATTATTACCTCCCTTAAGACTTTCAGATGAGTCAAAGTGGTTATTCTGAACTGCAGTTGAAATGTATTCATTTTAGCATTTGGGTGTTGAGAATTTTTTTCTTCATTTGCAAAAGGGTTTATAATAATATCCTCATATCCCCACTCCCACCCTTCACCTACCTCCTCTAGCATTCTAAATTCCTTGTATTTAAGAGGCTCATTCTGTATATTTGGCAAACTACATCATTAACACTTGAAAAGCATTAAAAGGTCTTTTTAAACCTTTATATTCATAGATGTTTGTGTGCTGAGGTGTGTAGAGAAAAACTGTGTGGCTTTGATAATGGTGCTCTATTTAATAAATGCCAGTGGCTATATAAGCTATGCAGGTTTTGCCATTAGACAGAAGCTGATAATTATAGAGAAAATCTAGTATGGAAATTATACCACTGTCCAAAAACATGCGATTTTTTTTTCCCCTTTACCTCCCCCCACCCAAGTTTCTTTTGGACTGAGGTTGTAATGATAGGGTGTAAAGAGAATTAAGTATTGCTAGGATGATTGTTCCTAATTTTCCTGAGGGTACTTCTTTTCCACTGGAACCACATACTTTTTACATCCAATTTAAAAAAACAAACAAACAAAAAACCACCAAATTCAAAATGAGTGTGCACCTTCAGTGCAGCCACCATACGCAGGTGTGCTTGGGTCTTTTAACCTTCTGGTATACACCTATGTCATGGGCAATTCACGTTGTGTGCATTTCATGTTCTTCCTCAGTTTCTTTTTTTTTTTAAACATGAATATTCGCTTTTGAAGAAACTGATTTCACATATGTCTTAAGTCTATAGTACAGTAAAATCTCTGTAATTCAAACTAATCATGGTGAAGGCATGCCTGAACTAGTGAAATCATTATATTCGATTCCTCTTAAATCCGCATTACTCATTACAGCAGTGTTTCTAAGTGGAGACTGTTCCTGAGACAGCTTTAATTAGTAGATGGGTTTAAAGTCAGGGCCATTGTGCACGTGTTTATAACTTGCTGCTTCCTTTCTTTGGGGGGGAGGGTGGAGTTTCTCTTCTTTATTGTTTTTGAAGTTGATACATAAATTTGTATGTATTTATCCTGTAGAACATGATGTTTTGACTATTACATTGTGGAATGGAAATATAGCTAATGTGTAAATTAGCTCACCAAGTTATTTTTATGGTGAGAACACTTAACATCCACTCTCAGCATTTTTCAAGAGTGTACTATATTGTCATTAACTAGAGTTTCACTGAAATGATCCCCTAGTTAGGTTATAGGTGCTTAAGTCTTGTTTACATTATTGATTTACTTAGTTCTTTCTTGGAGGATGGAGGGCTTCAGCTTTGTCTGCAGACAGAACAGTCATAGATTCAAAATTGATGGAGTCCTAAGAGATAATCTGAACCTTGAACATGTGTTATTGCTGTATAGTTTTGGGATTCCAAATTAAATTTTAAAATTTGTAAAGCACAAGATCTGTAAAGTATGTTAAAATATAAAATGTCACCAACTTAAAAATGTATTTTCAAATTATATATTATTTAAATAAGGAGGAGTTTATCATTACTTTTGAAAACTAGAGAAACAGAAGATAAACTGAGTAGAGGCTGAAGCGTGATGCACAGTGATGTCTGACAGAGCTGTAAGATGTGAAAAAATGGTGTCACGTGGTTCTTAAAGATACACAACTACAGAATTATGAATTTATAAATCTATATCTGTTGAGTTATTTAAAATTTTTCCCTTAGGATTGGCAACATTTATTCATTTATATGTTCATGAGAATTTTTTATTGCATGCTTTTTTCCTGTCAGACATATGTAATCAATAAAGAGCTTATAAAACATTTATAACTTTTGTTCCATTAACTCTTTATTGACCTTAACCTGGGGATATAATCCAAAAGGGAGGATAAATATGTATATACAGGGTTTCATGTGATAGGGAATCATAATGATCCACCTCAGTCTCTAAGGACCCCTCTAAGCGGGTAACAGTCTCAAGGTGGGATAGTTATGTATTCCAGGAGTGTTTAACATGGAAAACTGCAAAGAATCAAAGAGGTGACTTCAGTCAAGGTCTGCAGATGATTCTTGGGTTATACTGATGACTGGTTACTGTAATTGTGTGACATTTCCTTTGGGAGAGGAGATACGAGTTGGACATCCATATTAACGGTTGACCTTGTGGTTATTTTGCAGTCAAATAAAGTGCCCGTGGTGCAGCCGTCCCATGCGGTCCACCCGCTCACCCCCCTCATCACTTACAGCGACGAGCACTTTTCTCCAGGATCACACCCGTCACACATCCCATCAGATGTCAGCTCCAAACAAGGTGAGAGCCCAGGCCTGCCCAGCCTCTTTGCTAATTGAGGAGTCAAAATTGCCTGAGTCTCAGTGGCCCTTTGCTCCAGGTCACTGGGTGGACCAAAGTACATTTGTAGAGAATAAGAATAATTTATTGGTCAGCAAGAATTTGTTGTTGCTTCTTTAATTTTTCAGTGTTAAGAAACAAGAAACACTTACTTAGTAAGGTGATTTTCCAGGTGACAGCTGTGAAAATCTGAGAGTCACAATATAAACCAGTATGTCACACAAACAGGCTATATGCTCAGTCATTATTTCAGCATGTCCCCCACCACCTTATCTTAGGGGTTATGTTCTAATTCTCCTCTGGGTGCCTTATACAGTGGATCACACTGAGCTGCAGAGTTAATGCCTTTTACATCACAGCTGAGCACTTATCACAAACTATGGCTGAAACTTTTGCAATTTGAGGCAGGATAACAAAATTAGTGCAGATTTCTTTTTTCTTCTTCAGAATATCTTGGACAGAAGGTTAGTTCTTACTTAGATCACAGTAACCTCATGGTATGATTATTTTGTTTTCCCTTAAGTGCAGAACTTTCACCTTTTCACTTGAAAGGGTTACTTTGTGGCTTTGTCTGAATTGTCAGCGTAACTTTTCTTTCCTTAAAAACTTATTTTTTTACTTAAATATGTAAAATAAGGGTTATTTGAACACAGACACTGCAGTACCGTGATGGTAGAGCATGATGGTAGATAGCTTCTAAGTGAATAATTGGGTTAGTACAGCATGGTTATGGGACACAGGGACGATTTATATCCCAGGCAGGGACAGTGGGAGAGTACAAAATTTCATCCTGGTGCACAGAACAGTGCTTAATTTAAAACCCATAACATTGTTTATTTCTGGAATTTCCTACTTAATATTTTTAGACTTTGGTTGACCATGAGTAACTGAAACCATAGAAGAGGAAACTGTGGCTGGGGGGTTGGGGGGATTACTATACAAGGTGTTGATGGTGATTTTTATTAAAAAGTAGAAAAGGGGAAAATTGGAAGATTTTCACTTCAAATATTTTTCTGAGCCTCTTGTGAATTCATTATTCAGCTATATTCCTATTATGTTTTATCCTTTCTGTGTACCAGCACTAGCTTATAATCATAAATAAATCATCTATGGAAAGTCAAAGCAGCTGTATTCTGTTTGGCTCCCATACCAAACTCTGCTTCTGCTGCAGTTTCAGAAAAACAGACACGTTATAAGAGGTCTAAAAAATCAAAATGTCCAATTTTTACCCAGTGTGTACAGGTATGGTTGCGAGTGGGACTGAGCTGTGTTCTCCAGACCTTCTGGTCCCATTGTCTCAGGGCCAGCCTCGGGATGGCTTCGCTCTCAGGATAGTCTGTACCTCTTTCTGAGAGCACACGCACAGTTGGACTTCAGCAGGGTATTTGAAGGTTCAAAATAAGCCCTTTAAAACCACTTGAAAACAGAATATGAAGGGGTAAAATTTTTCTCCACCTGCATTTCACCTGTGTGTCTGCCCAGGCTCTGCCCTGTTGTGGGCAACAACATTCAAAATGTGTAAAAAAGTATTCAGAAGCCAGTTGTCCTTTTTACCACTATTACTGTATCTAGATGAAACTCTTCACTTTCAGTTTCTCTGTCCTTAGACCACAACACTTAGTTGAAGACTTGTTACTGTTGCACTTGAACTCCAGTAAAGAGCCCAGCTACCAAAATCACCTGTATGGATATTTCTAGGTCTGCCTGTTCCAATTTTCCTTCCCAGTCCTTTCTCCACCCTGCTTCCTTTTATTAACAGCTTCCAAGAATACAAACCTTCAAAAAGACAGGCCTGTGGGTCTATAGTGAGGAGGAGAATTAAGGGACTTTAGAAGGAAGGCTGACTTTGAGAGGGAAGATCAGTAATATGATCTTGGTCATGGTGAGTTGAAGTGTCTTTGAGATGTCTTTGGGGAGACTTGACACAGGCAGGCAAATTTAAACATGTGGGTCACAACCTCAGGCCAGGGACTGAGTTGGAACATATATCTAGGAAGCATAAATATGTGGAGGACAGACCTAGATACAAAAGCCTCAACTAAGAACTAGCAAAAAGAATCTCACAGTGTGTTTTATTTCACTGTATTTATTTATTTAACAATTAAATAGTGCTTACTATGTCCTAGGTCCTGTTCAAAGCACTTTGAAACATTAACTTATTTAAGAGAATAACACGTCATGGTTTATTAGTTTTTCTCTCGAGAATTCTAAGACAGTTCACTTTTTTAAAAAAGACAGGTTTATGACTGGCTACTAATTACATTTATATTTTTCTCTTCTGTTTTCATCTCAACTGCCCTCCTATCTTGTTCTGCCTAATTGTAATTTATATCATTGCTTCTTAAACTTTTTTTTCCCTTAACAAACTGCAGACCTACAGAGAATGGACCAGAAGTTCTCTGCGTAGTTTCTTTAGTCTTTGTTGTTTGAAAAATGTTGTGATTTTATTTTTCTTCCTTACACTCTTCGTTTTTATTTTAATATGAAGATCCTGTTTTTAATTACATGTCTGTCCTGGGCTTCATGTACCTCATCATCATGTACCTCTGGGGATGTAAACTCTGGTTTGGGAAGCACTCATTTACATGATATTGAGTTTATATAATCCCATTTGGGTATTTTTATTGCCAAAAAAATAAGCTCAGTAGGCCTCTTGGTTTCTTTCTTTCCTGCTGCCTCCCTTTTGGGTCTATTGTGTAGTTCAGCTGGTTAGAACATGATGGTACTGAGGCCCAGAGTTGCTGATCTCTTTGTTCAGAGTAGGCAAATCAACTTTTATCTAAGGGGGACTGGGGAACCCTAAAGAGTAGCATGTCCTTATTCTTACCCTAGGCAGAGTTATTCAGTAAATATAAATGGTTTGTCTTTGATACCCATTCTCATTTGTAAAAAAATAAAATAAGTTCAGTTTCATTTCCTATTGGAGACCACATTAGTTTCTGCCCTTTTCTCCTCCTCTCCCTCCCTCCCTTTGTGTATATGTAGGAAAGGGAAAGAAAGTTCATACCACTTATTTGTCTAACTCGTAGTCAAGTATAGTTGAAATGTTAAAAGGAAAGAGCTTTTTACAAAATACTGCTTATATCTTTGTGTTATCCATTTTATCCTTATATATAACAATAGTCACATAGCATTTATACTTGTGCTGGGCACTGTGCTACAGGACCTGTGTTAATGCATTTATCCTTTACAACAACCTCTCTACTATTATCATTTGAGTATTCAAAAACAAATAACTTCCTCAACACATGTAGCCAGTGACTGACATATCTACACAGTCTGACTCCAGAATTATTTTATTTACATTTATATAGAAGTTACTTATAAAAGTTTAAAAATCTTTAAGGCTCTGCTGAGTGTATCCTTCAACACACATAGTGAGTGTTCCGTGAATACTAGTTGAGCAAATGACAGGAACTATATCTTCGATTGCAGGGCAGTTGGAGGAGGGGCATAAGGCATACAGTTGTAGGAATCTTTTAGGAATAGGATCTTAGTGGGACCACAAGCCATTTAGAAGACCCAGGTTTATTTATGAGCTAAGCCACATCATGTACCTACTTATAAAAGTTGAGAAGATTTCCTGGCAGTGGGACATTTGAAAGATGAGTATGATTTCAATAGACAGGGTCAACTTACCATATGAGAGACCTAAAATGCTGCAGGTGCTACATAAAGAGTGGTTCATTCCTCCTTCCTTCCAGCAGCAAACCAAATCCAACTAGTTTGTATTTCTGTTCTGCTGAATCATTTTTGCACAGAACCCAAGCAGAGTTGGAGTATAGACTCATGTGGAGACCCAAGTGATTGCAAGCAGCTTACCTCTTCGCGTCCTTGTGACAGTCAGAAGCCCAGCACAACACCTACTTTATATGAACCCAAACATGAACAGTGGCTTAGCCCCCTAAGACCTTAATTCTACTGCAAAATAATAGTGTTGAAGTATATCATTTATGACTTCAAGCATTGATTTCCAAGTTACTGTAATAAAATACTCAGATTCCAACTAAGTTTCTAATGTTCTATTGAGTTGGTCTAGCTGTTGTTTTTTCTTTTGTTTTTTCAAACCTGAGCAGTCTCCCTGCAGAGGTTTAGGGATTTCTGCATCTCAGAATGAGGAAAGCAGCAAGTGAAAAAACTTCCCCAATGATCCTGAGGCATCATGAAGCACCACAGCAGGCTCTTTTAGAACCACCCTGCCACCCCAAACTTCCCAGACTTAAAGAAAGAAATGTCAGGGTACAAAATGTGGGGTCCACTAGGATCAAAAGGATCAGTATTTCTAGCAAAAATATATTGTTTATAAAAGGGAGATTTGAGATAACACTTGTAGAAACAGCAAAACGTGAGCTGATCTCATGTAAGCACTCTGTTGAGAGAAATGAAGACCTTTCTCCTCCCTACCTACTTTCTGTAAGAATGGAGAGATAGTTTGTTCTAACTTCAAAGTCAAATTAACATAAACTTTGAAGGCGGCACTTCTTAAGTCATTGCCATATATTCAAGGCCTTCAGTTTCTTTCAAGATCCAAATGAAATTCATAGGCATCCTAAGTAGTAAAAAAAAAAAGAATATTTAAAGAGCATCTTCATGCTGTTCACCTGATTTTACGTATCAGCCAGTATATTTACAGTTGCCTGGTGTTGAAGCTTGAAATACATGTTTATACTATGAACATGACCTTTTAAAGCTATGATTAGCTGTGTGAAGCAACTTAAATGGCTCTCTTCAGAATCACTGCACCCAAATATATTAAACTTTACATTTTACATTTTATGCATTTGTCTTGTCCTGTCTGAATTTTTTCTTTTTTTCTGTACCTAAGGTCAGGTACAAACAAAGGGATGTCATTTGGGACCAGGATTAGGTGTAATTGTTAGGTGGTTTGCACAGCCCTAGGACAGTGCACTCCAGGGAGTGTGAGTGTGAGAAACAGTTTGGTGGCACTCTCCTTTTCTGTGGAATACAACTAATCCAGAACAGCCTGACCTTGGAGCGCAGAGGACTCAACTTGATGAAGAGCTTAGAGGGAGCTCAAGTGGCAGACAGAGACCAAATGAATCATATCAAGTGTGACCATTATGGGACTGAAGATGATTCCTAATTAATCTCTGATCCTCTGAGGTATCACATTCCCCAAATCTGTGTGTCCATAAGGGAACCAGTGAAAATATGAAAGTGGCAATTTACCTAATCCTTGAGCCCATGGCAGGCCATCTACTTGTGAAGGGCGTCATTTTCCATTCTACACAAAAACAATTGCCTGCCATTTTCTTAAGCAAAGTGAAATAATGAGGGCAAAATAAATTATTTAAAAGTCTCTTTGGATGACTGCTTTCCTGGCAGCACATTTATTCCTTTAGGAATTCAAGACATACTGAATCTGGAGAAATGTTGAAATCTGGAGAAAAGTTCAGAAGCTGACTTGCATTCATTGGCTCTGATTAATAAATGCTGTTTCTAGATTATAAGTATTAATGGCATAAAACTTCTTAATGCTTTCTATTGCTCTTCTGGTCACATGTGCCGTGAGTCTGAAAATGACACCTCTGTGTTGTCCTGTTCCCAGGCATGTCCAGACACCCGCCAGCTCCTGACATCCCCACCTTCTACCCGCTGTCTCCGGGCGGTGTTGGCCAGATCACCCCACCTCTTGGCTGGTAAGATCCTCCCTGCAACCTTCAGCCAGACTTTGAACACATCTTCTCCCACTTTTCATTCACAGAAATTAGCTTTGTGAATGGGAACATTTGTGGAGTTGAGGAAATTTACAACAAGCAAGGTGCTAACTTTATTTCATTTCAATTTAAAAGATTAAAAAACGTGCAGACTTTGAAAGGAATTGAATCGGCTTGCTAATATGTGTAGAAAATGACTGTGTAGCAATTGCTTTGAAGCTTACAGTTTTATGGATTCAATTTGTGGCTTTGGGCATTTGTTATGCCTATATAAAGTTAGTTCTTAAGTGTGGCTTTCTAGTTTTTTTTTTTTTTCTTAATGAACAGCTTGTCTTTTTGAAACATGAATTTAGACACCGAGTATCCACCTTTGGCAAGTGGCACTAAGTAGAGAGAAATTCAACAAAATAAAAACATCTTTTGAATGTTAATAAAATAAACATCCAATTTCAGTTCAGAGGAACAAGACCTAAATTGGGGGCTTTTATTTTGTTTAGATTCCAAATACTAATGCTCTTTCTTTTGTGGTATTTATTTCTTAAAACATTCTTACCGCTCCCTTCAGATGTTTTACACCGTAAAGGTAAAGGGAAATGTATTGAGGGAAGAAAGGTGTGTGACATCGACTATCTTGATGACTTTCTCCTTAGCACACAGCTTTCCCTCCCGTCCCAAGCCCTCTCAGCCTTCCCTCCGCCCTCCGTGGGAACAGTGCTGCAGCTCCAGCAGAGGTTTCTCTCCTTTCTCCATCAGCCTGCTGTCACCACAACCATGTCCTATGGCCTCTGTCTCCCTGCCTGGACACGCTGACATTCTCTCTTCTTTACCAAGAGAGGGCCACCCTGCCAAGGAAGTGTCAGCTTACTTGCTCTCGCCCTTCCTCCCTATCTCTCTTTAGTATTGAACCTTTTGGTCAATAACTCCTTCTCATTGATGATACGTATGCTTCTAAGCCTAGATCAGCTGTTCCGAACTTAGCTACTTAGGGCAATAATCCTGTGCCAAGTGGCATCACTGGCAGCTGGAAATAAAGACTATGTAAATGAAAAGTGTGAGATTCAGGAAGAACACAGGGACAGATGGACTTCTTAGGGTGGAGCAAAATATTTTGATGATCTTTTATTTCTTGACTTTAACACAGGTATTTAAAGGGGAAACGGTGCAGTGTTTCTGGAATGTTTATTCACTTTTATTAAAATAAAAAAATATGATGTCCTCCTTTATTCCCTTCTTTGGAATTCTCAAAGATTCTGATAAAAAAAATCATTAAACTGCTTCTCTGAAGGAATTTTTTTTATTTCACCATTCTCTGGGTCATGTTATATTCAATAAGCATTTATTAAGTTCCTACTTTGTTCCAAGCATTAACCGGGCTGGGAGAGGGGAAGTGATAAAAGGATAATTGGCTGGTTTGCAGTTGAGGAAGGGAGACTTCTTCTCTTCAGGGCAAAGGGTGCTTTGATTGGGTGGAGGGCAAGGAAGGGGAAGCATCCGAAGAAATCCAGTGGTTTGTAATCCTCCCACAAGACTCATTTGAGTACTCCCTCCTCCCCTCACCAAACGTTCCTGCTGGTTGGTAACTGGTTTTTTGTCATTGACGGGCTCCTTTCTTCGACCTCAGGCAAGGTCAGCCTGTATACCCGGTCTCGGGTGGATTCAGGCAGCCCTACCCGTCCTCACTGTCAGTGGACACTTCCATGTCCAGGTAGGTGGAGGTGGAGGCCAGTCGCTCTTCTCGTGCTTGCATCCTGTGCCCTGCTTGCCTCTGGGTCGCCGGGTAGGAGGGTGCATGTCTGTGCAGTGTGCCTGGCTCCCACACTAGGAGTCTGAGCCACCCAAGGTAGGAGCCACAGGCCGTGCCCAACAGGACCAGCCACACTGGGGAATACTGCCCGCTAAAGAGTTCATGGCCACCTGCCTGAGATGAGAAATGTCCCCAGAGTGGACATGAAAAGAGCCTATTTGATTCAAAATATGCTGGGGGTGGGGTAAGGGAGGAGGACAAAAACTAGTTTGGTCTAAGTTTTATTTGCTTCCTTTGAGGAGAATTGTATCCATTTAATATGGTGGTGTTCGAAAATGCCCCGATAACCCAAGAAGAGCCTTCCTGGACCAAGGCTGTTGGGACAGACAGGACAGTGCTCCCAGGCTGTCCAGCCATCCAGGGTGTGCGTCCTAGTGTGTGAATCAGGCCCTGAGTGGACATGTTAGTGCAAGCAAAGCTCTGTGAGATCTGCCGTGCCACACTTGAGGCTGCTCTGTGTAATGCTTTTGCTTCTGGAAAGGATGGCTTCTGTGCCCTGTGCTTGATGTACACACCTGTGGTGTATCATCTGTGTGTTCCACGTGGCTTTTTCAAGGGAGCTAGCATTATCATGCTGGAAGCCAAACTGTTAACTGGTTGTGAATCTGTCTGGCTTTTTTATTTTTAATTTTTTTTTGTATGGGTACGAAATTTGCAGTTTCTTTGGTAAATTTCAGCTTTAAATATATGTGTGTGGGTGTTATATGTATACATATTTCATATGTATGTATACATGTATATATATTAATCAGTGAATTATAAATTTAGCTGGCTGGTCTGGGGGAATGGAGTTAATATTTCTCCCCCTAAAGTACATTTTTACATTTTTTAACACTATTTGATGACAGGGTTTTCTTACAGGCAAATAACCAGTATTGTATATTTTTGTAAAAAGTACAGATATTGGTCAAATATTTGCAATTTTATCATGCCTCCTTAATATTTAAAAAAATTATTTTTGGAATACCGCATATTCAAGCAGAGTTCCTTTTTTCTTTTCCAGATGAAGAATTAATTTTACCAGCTACAATGAAAGACCTGAGAACGTTGTTTTTATGGAATCTAATGTGTACTTTAAAACAGTTTGGAAAGTAAAAAAATCCTAAAACATCCAAATTTATTCAAAGTGCTTGCTCAGAGTACTTTATTTTATTTTTCTTGCATGGCAGTTTCCCTCCTTTGTGTTGGATGATGGTGATTACTTTAAGACTTTTTTTTTTTTAATGCCATGAAAATGTACTCAGGAAAAAGCCTTTACAGGTGTAGTTTTTACCGTGATACAGAACTGTGTCCTTACTTTTAATTAAATTCTTTCCCTTAATATTTTTCAGTTTTCAATAAAGTTAGATCTCCCAAATATAATTTAATTTCTGCGTAGAAGATAATTTTGGATGATAGTAATGGAAACCTTATTAAATAGGGTACAGAAAAAAGTTTTCCTGTCCCTTTTTACAGTTGTGTCCTCTGATAGTAATATGAGAAACTCTTCATGTGATGATTTGCTTAAGAGTGTAGGCAGAGATTTTTTAAAAATGTGATGTATTTAGCTTAATTTAAATGGCATTTTAAAATTAAATCTTAATAAAGTGTCATATTTCTAATAATTTCTGTTACTGAAATTCTTATTTGAAATGGGAAAAACAAACAGTAGCATGAATTGGACATAACTTTCGAATGTTCATATGTGAATACCCAGCCAGCATAGCTCCACATCATCATGTACAACCACGAGAATGGGAAGTTATTCTCCATGTATGTATGATGTGTCAAAAATACATTCTGTTGTCATGTATAACTAAAAAAGAACAAATAAAAAACAACAGAATGAAAAAAGAAAAATTCTTATTTGAAAATTGCTTTGCAAGAAAAATGATTTACTTTTTTCCTTATCATATGGCTTACTGCCCTCCCAAGAAAAATGTCACATTCTGCTATTAGTTTAAAAAAGTTACAGAAAATAGTAATATTTTCCATGTGAATTCAGGAAGAAAAAAATAATTATCAGCCCACTTTAATAATTATATTTAACATTCCTGTGCATAAAGATGTATTTCGCCATGTAGCCCGTTACAGTTGGTGGAATGTTGTAAAGTTCCATCTAGCTTGGCTACAGCAGCCAGCCATAACATACTCTTCTTCTTTTCCCTTCTTTTAGGTTTTCCCATCATATGATTCCTGGTCCTCCTGGTCCCCACACAACTGGCATCCCTCATCCAGCCATTGTAACGCCTCAGGTCAAACAGGAGCATCCCCACACTGACAGTGACCTAATGCACGTGTAAGTAGGCTTCTGGGCTCATCTGTGGATGAGCCTCTGAACACTCGCTCCCTCTCTGTTGCTGAGGCTTCCCCTCTCTGTCAGTTCCAACTTCAACATAGCCGTGAAGGCTCTGAAGCTGAGGATAGTAAGTAGCTTGATGCTTGCCGCTGTGATTTGATTGTGAAATAGGAAAGGAGCACAGGCCTTAGAAGATCATGGAGACTTCCCCAGAATGGAGGGACATTCAGAACACCGGCATGAAGAATCCTGAGCTGCTCAGCCACTGGCCCACCAGTGAAGTAGAGGGAAGGGTTGAATGGACTTCCTTCTGGAAATACAGTGACCCTGACTGCAGACCCTGAGAGTATAGAATTCAAGGGGAAAGCTGCCAAGCCCAAGAGGCCCTACTGCTCCTCGGTTGTGCACATTGTCAGAGCAGGCCTGAATTACTTTCCCCTGGAGACGTTAGAAATCTCCATTCTGTGCTTCTGAATCTTCTTTTAGGGTCTGCAGAGGAGTGGGTGCTAGTGGCAGGCAGTGTGTGATATTCCACAAAGCCCCTTAGATGTATTCAAAGGCAACATGTATTTGTTTGGAAGTAGGGTCAGAAGCTTTGATTAGCTTCTCAAAGTGGTCCTTAGCCTTCCCACAAAAGGAAAGATCACCTGTATGTGAGTTCAGCTTCTGAGGTGATAGAGGAATGGAGCCTCAGGTCCCTGAGTGGAGCACCTTCACAATTCCAAGTCCATTACCATTTGTGTTGTTCAATACATCTACTTCAGAAGGTCCTTATTCACAAAGAGTCACTAAGTGGATAAAGAGCTCCATAGTTTGGTCGTTTGCTACTCAGTGTTGCATCAAATGAGCCAAGGCTGTTGTCCCAAGTGGATGGTGCACTGGTGTTATAGGGGGTGGGGGTGGGGGATCCCCAGCCTGAGCTGAGCAGTGGGAACAGATGCTCTGCTTCTCTCCTCCTCTCTTGTCTTCCTTATTCCTTCTACCTTCTCCCTCTGCTCACCACCACAACCACCTTTCAGGAAGCCTCAGCATGAACAGAGAAAGGAGCAGGAGCCAAAAAGACCTCACATTAAGAAGCCTCTGAATGCTTTTATGTTATACATGAAAGAAATGAGAGCGAATGTCGTAGCTGAGTGTACCTTAAAGGAAAGTGCAGCTATCAACCAGATCCTCGGCAGAAGGGTAAGTGGCAGGATGGTATATAAATGTATATGGTGACCATAGAATGGCTTCATAGAATCGGCCCCAATTTAGTTACATATCAGGTAGTCACAGAGTGTATTTGTATAATGAGCAGGCATTTCAGGAAGTAATAACATTTGGGAGGATTTAGTGATATAATGTGGTGTAAATAACTTAGTTGGTACTTGGCACGCAGGAAACTTCCTGGAACAGATAACTGTTTTTACTGTCATTCTTTAAACAAATATTTATTGAGTGTCTTTATGTGCCAGGCATGATGCTTGGCATTAAGTAACAGTTGCTGAATAAAATAGATACAGTCCTTGCCTTTCTGGAGCATAAAGTTTTGTGACAAAGATATAGACATTGGACAAGTAGTCACTTAATAAGTCTGTAACTCAAATTGTGATAAATAGTGTATTATTGGCAAGATTCTGTGAGAAAGAACAACAGGCACTAGGGAAAGCCCCTCTGAGAAAATCGTTTTTAATCTGAAACCTGAGAGATGAGTAGCAGTTAGTGGAAGTGGGGGGACTCCCCAGCTGGAGCAGCATGTGTGCCAAGTGGCAGGGGACAGATAGCTCAAGCCCTTGGAGAGAGCAGCAGCGGGACCCATGGGAGACTAGGCCCACAGAATGGCCATTCCTTCCTAGACAGAAGCAGATCCATTCAACTGTGAGGATTTAAATGGGAGAATTTATGTGAACCTGTTTCTAGAAAGATTGTTCTCTGATTCTTAAAGTGCTATTGTGTCAGGTTTCCAGATTTCTTCTTTGCTTTTCATTCCTTTTTCCACCCAGGGTATGATATTTTTCTTAGCCCTCATTCTGTTATGAATGAGCCTGTAGGTTATAACTAGGCTAGATGCTCTAACATCCTTTAGCCAACTACTAGCCAAAAGACTTGGCAGCCCTTCCAAGTAACCTTTTGCAGGATTGAAAATTTTTAACTGGGTGTCTGAAGAACAGTGGAACAAATTTGAATTTATCTAACTCAAATTACATTTCACTATATATACACTATAATTTTAGAAACACTTCATCTTAATTTGTTGATGCTCTTTATGTAGTGTGGTAGCTTCTTAATTTATGACTCCTATGAGTTTGTTTTCACAACTTTTCAAGAAATCGATGATTAATCGAACATCCAGGTCAGGAGAGTCTATCCACCCTTGTGAAGCAGAGAGGATCACATGTTAGCCTTTGTTGATGATAATTTTTACTGGATTTGTCCAAACTTAACACATTTGAGCGTTCATAAAAGAATGTTGAGGAGACTGGCAGTGCATGTGAACAGGAGGGAAGCAGGTTTCTTGCATTATCAATTCCCACTGAATAACCTTAAAATGCAACTATTTCCAATCTGCCAGGCTCCAGGGTTTCCTGCATAGGGCACAGTGGTAGATTATAGTTCCTTTGGTGTCCTGGGTGAATGTCCTATTTCCCTATGGAATCTTAAACACTAAAGACAATAATTGTGATGGTTTCCCAAGCCAGTTCATAGCAAATGAGCATTTCCCCATCATCTTTGAAGAACTCCGCCTTAAAAGCCTAAAGGCCGAGGACCATTTTCCCTCTTTTTTAAAAGAAAAAACCAGAGGAAAAGAAGGATTAACATTTGTATTTCAGCCCATGTAACGCTCAGATTTTTATTTTTTTCTTCTTTGAGTTAAAGGCCCCCTGTCCTTCCAGTAAGAATTATTTTCCTGCTCAAGAGAATAAGTAAGGATATAATCTGGAGGTATGCTTCCTATTTTTAATGCACATTTCCAAAAATTGCTACTTTCTCAGCTCCCTGAACGATCCCCATACCCAAACATTATATCTGAAGGGATGGTTGTCATTTGGACTTTCTCTGTCTTTGATTTGGACACCTGTTTCTATTTATAGGCCTCTGAGAGCTCTTTGATTAAGATCAGGTTTTCTATTCTTCCATAACTCCCCTCTGGCAGGGCCGTTCTTGCTATCTCTTTAAAGTCCTGGCTTTAAAATCATGAAGTTTCACACTGGGGTGATTGGAATTCTTAAAAGTGATCTGAAATCCATCCCAGAATATTTTACCTTTGGATTTTTTAAAATCCATCTTTACTATATCTCTAAGAAATGTTTATTCATATGAATTAACCAGAGTTCTCCTAATTCATGTTATAAATAAAAATTGGACAACTATTATTTTAAAATAAATTATTACTTCTCAGACCTTTCAAACTATTACAGAAAGTCCATTTGTCACACATTTATTGTCAGAATTCTGTGTGACTTAAAATTAAATGAGTGTTTTTCCCTACAACTTGGTGAAACTTGGACAATTTTTTGATCTTTAAAAATACTTTAACTCTATATTTTTCAGTAAACAGAGTAAGAGAAAAAGAAGCATTTTTAGTCAATTGTGTTTCAGAAATTCTTGTAAGGAAAGACCATCTTTCTAATCTGTGCTGGACTTTATTTTCAATGCAGAACTTCAACACCATTTTTTTTTTTTTTTTTTTTTTTGATACTGAAGATAGAAGCCAGGGGTACTTAACCACTGACCCACATCCTAGCCCTTTTTTATATTTTATTTAGAGACAGGGTATCACTGAGTTGCTAAGTGCCTCTCTAAATTGCTGAGGCTGGCTTTGAACTTGCGATCCTTCAGCCTCAGCCTCCCGGCACTGAGATTCCAGGCATGTGCCACTGCACTTGGCTCAACAGCATTTTTTTTTTTTTTAATATTTATTTTTTAGGTGTAGATGGACACAACACAATGCCTTTATTTTTCGTGGTGCTGAGGATCAACAACATTTTATTTCCCACTTTTTGTCTGGTAAATTATCTTTTATTTGTGAGCAGGTTTTATGCAATAGAAATATCAGGGAGCTAAAAACAATTTAAAATGCAGACAGATAGGTTAGTTTGTGCCCTGCTGCTTTCTCCTATGTTTTATTCAGTTTTATTATTTGGGGTCTTTTGGTCAACCTGAATTTCCTGCTTTAACTGAAAAATAGCTGATTGTTTGGGTAGAAGACCCAACCTCAGTATGTATTTTGGGAGTTGATTTTTATTTACAATCCCAGGTTTCTTCAGTGAGTTATAAAGCTGCCATAAGTTATATAAAACTCTATTAATATATTGCAGTAATAAATGATGTTGGTATGTAGGGAAATAATACTCATCAAATGAATGAACCAATTTAAAATGGAAGACTTCTTGTCTTTTCCCCCCTTTTTGGTGACACTTTGCGTCTTATTGGATCACATTTAGTGAGAGCGCTAATGGTATAAATACCAATGATCAGTGTTTTCTCCAAAAAAATAAAATCAAAGATGATCTTTTTTATTGTGTCCAGTTTGGTCGTTGCTTCCTGTGAATCTGCAGCACTAGGTCAGCATCTCAGATTTAGAAAAGCTGTCAGCTGCCTTGGCTTCACTCCTGCCCCAGACATGCCTTCTGGGGCTGGATTGGTCGAATTTGTTTAGTCCACTGCTGCAAAAATCTGTGTTTCGTGGAACTTTCTCTTTCAGGATTGTTTTTTATTTTCTGCCACCTCCCCAAAGGTTTCTTTTTCTTTCTTTTTTTTCTTTTTTTTTAACTGAAAGCTTATTACCTGATCTGCCTTCAGGCTCACACCAGATCCCACTCTGTCTTGCTTTTTAACTTTGCACTCTGCACTTCTAAAGCAATTAGAGAATAAATCATCCACTCTGTCCAACACAGAGGGCTGGCTCTTGAGGGGCTTTCGAACCAAGTGGACTCCTGGCGCTGCCGGTGGGCCCCGCTGCCTCTGCTCTGGAGACAGGAGTGGGTGTGGCAGGAAGGCGCTTTCATGTGTTTTGTGAGATCAGCTTCTTGCTCTGTCGTCAAATCAAGACAGCAGGTGTGTTTCTTTTTCTGAAGGAAAGCTTCTTAGTCATACTGTAAGGCTGAATCCAGGTTGTTGAGGACTTCGAAAAAGCCTCCTCCCGAAGAATTTTTTCTCTCCTCAACTTCTCTTTCCTTCCCCTAGCCCACCCATACCCTTCTTTTCTTCCCCCCCCCCCCCTTTTTAAACCATTTAAAAAAAATAAGATCAGGGAGATTAAAATTAATAAGCACAATAGCTACGAATGGGAAGGAAGCAAATTGGAAGCTTCCCGTCTGAGAGCAGGCAGAGCAGGCCGGCAGGCTCCCTGGTCAGCGAGGGTCGTGTGCGTGGGCAGGATTCAGGTCTCCTCTTACAGCCGCCATTGCCTTTGTGGCTTCACCTCGCTGACAGTGGATGCCCCAGGGCCCAGCCACTTCTCTTCAGAAGGTTCTGCCTGGGGAAATAGGGAAAATGCTTTAATGGTGTTTGCTAGGGACCTGGGGCAAGCTGTGTGCAAATGTACGCAAAGCCGGATGCAGATGCCCACCCTTTGGAATCCCAAACGGTGCCTTGCCTACATAAATTTGTTGCTTATGACGTATAAGCATATCAGTCATGTTGAAAAAAAGATTAGAAGTTTGAAGGATTATCAGCAGCTTCATTCTCCATCTTAGAACCTGCAATCTCAATCAAATTATAGATGGCAAAATAAACAGATGAGGCCTCTTGCCTTCCATCAGAGGAAGCTAAAACCCACAGCCCAAAGCGTGCTGGGCAAGGCACAATGTTGTCAGTGTTCTCAGCGTAGACAGTGGGCGTGTGTGCGAGCATGAGGAGACAGCGAGGAGATGGAGACAGGCTGACTTTTGATGTCTTGCCTGATACAGAGGATCATGTGACTCTGGTCCAGACTTTCCCTAGGACAGAGTGGGAGAGTCTGAAGAGAGGGTGTGTCTGAGGAGACATCTGGAAATTATCACATTTTGCTTAAATAAATGGTAGTTGGGCTTGGATACCAGAATATGCTACAAACGACGAATAAGGGGGAAGTCGGCTATTGAGGTTCACCAGTGAAAGTCCTTTTAATTTATATTGGTAAAGAGAAAGGGTGGGTGACAGAGATGACTGTACTTCGAACACTTTGATGAACTTTGATGTGTTTCATGTGATATTGGAGAACGGGATAGAAAAACCAAAGCTTGAGTTTCACTGCAGCCACCAGACTCCAAGTGGATCTGAGCGGCACTTGGTCTTCTGCCATTTAGAAATAAATAGAAGTTCAAGTGGTTAATATTAGCACGTCTCAGAGTTTGAAACATGAAATATACTGTTGCTCTCTGGCTTATCTCTGTTCTTTCCTCCTTCCCCTTTTTGTTTCAGTGGCATGCCTTGTCCCGTGAAGAGCAGGCTAAATATTATGAATTAGCGCGGAAAGAAAGACAGCTACATATGCAGCTTTATCCCGGCTGGTCTGCAAGAGACAATTATGTAAGCCCCTCTCTCCGCCAGTGGCTGTGCTGGCGCTCATTCACTAATTCTGTCTTCTGCTTGAGAAGGAGTGTGTTTTAGGGTGTGTAAAATGCTGATACTCTTTCTTATGTTGGAAGGTAATGAATTTTATAATGAAGATTGTATGACATATTGCATTGTGAAAGCTTTGAAGGATCATATTTTTTGCTATGGATGCTAGTGCCTTTTTTAAAATAAAAATATAAACTTATCGTTAAAATGATAAAGATTAAAAAAAGAAAAGCCCATGATTTTTCCATGTAAAGCAAGATTAGAAATAACTACTTACATTATTCTCTAGTATATTTTCTTAGTTTTGATTTTTTACTTGGATATAAGTGTGTGGGGGTGTGTGTGTACATACATTTTGTGTCATGCTTCTCACTGTTATATATAAAAAGCATTTTTTATTTTATGGCATAGCATTTATGGATGTCAGTTTTCCATTGAATGAGTGTCTCAGTTTACATAATCATTTCTCCTGTTTTCAGACATTTAAATTGCTGCTTTTTTCCTTACAAATAATCCTACAGTGAACATGTCTATGCATAATAGGCTTTTTCCCTGCCGTATATAGGATTATTATTTTCTGTAGGATAGATTCATGGCAGTGTAAATGTTGAGTTAAAGGATTCCATTTTTTTCCCCTGGTGCTGGGATGGAACCCAGGCCTCACTCGTGCTAGGCAAGCACTCTACCACTGAGCTACGCCAAATTTTTTGTTTTGTTTGTTTGTTTTCGGTTTTTTAGCAATCTTTAAAATTTTGAGACAGGGTCCAAGTTGCCCAGGCTTATCTTGAACTTTATTTTTTATATTTTGGTAGTGGTGATTGAACTTGGAGCACTTTACCACCGAGCTACATCCCCAGTCCCTTTTTATTTTTTATTTTGAGACAGGGTCTTGGCTACATTGTTGGGATTGGACTCAAACTTGCAATCTTCCTGTCTCAATTTCTAGGGCAATATACCCAGCAAAGGAAATAAACATTTTAAAGTTCTTATACATATTGTCAGATTTCTTTTCAAAGGATTATATTATTTTATAATTCTTATAAGCATTTTATTTCAGATGACTGTTTTCCCATAGACAAATTAGGACTGTGTAAAAATTTGTTCTTACATATTAATGTACCCCCATGTAGGCTGGTGGCTTGGAAACAATAGAATGTATTGCTCACAGTTCTGGAGGCTGGAGAGTCTGAGACGAAGCTGGCATGTTTGGTGTCTGGGGAGGGCCACTCTAATAGTCTTGCTATAGATGTGCTGGGTGGAGGTGAAGCAATGCTCCAGGTCACTTTTATATGGGCACTAATTCCATTCTTGAGGTCTGTGCCCTAAACACCTGCAAAAGCTCCTCTTCCTTATCCTATCACTTTGGGGCTAGGATTGTGAGTTTGGAGGGAACACAGACATTCAGTCTATAGCAAGTCGAATGTTCCATGTGAGGCTACTGTTGGGAATGCCAGCCAGGACAGTCTTACTGTAAGTGGAACTGTCCCTTCAGAAAAGAGCAGGGACATAGTTAATCAGTATATAATTTAACTGGGGGTCACTGCTGCAGAAGCTCCTGTGGGGCTTGATTCCCACAGAGAAGATGACAAGGATGTATATCTAAGGTCATACATCCCATAAGAGAGTCCAAAGCTTTTTGAAAAAGCATGTAAACTTATTTGTGGAAATGGATTGCATGAAGTCTCAGCTTCATTCAGTTTGCTTTCTATAATGTGCTCTGCAGAAAAAGTCACTTGACTGGGTAGGATTTGGAGCTTAAACATTGGATTCAACTTCCACACAGGAAACAAGAGTCCTACTGTTCTCTACTTACGAGCAATAGCGCGGTCAGCTCACTGAGTTGTTTGGGTTGTTTTAATAACCACCATATGCTGATCGTCAGGAATTCCTTCTGTTACTCGTTAATCCTTACAACAGTCCAGTGGCATAAATACCATTATTCCATTTTTCAGGTGAGGAAATGAGGGGTTGGAGAGGTTAAGTAATTTGTCCAAGGCCGTGTAGTAGGTGGCTAAGCTGTAATTTACACCCAGGTCTCCCTGACTTGAGAATCTGCACAGCTTCCCTCCTCCTGAGTGGATTAGCTCCATCTCTCAGTGCCTTCTTAAGAAGACTGCTTAGTTGAAGAATTTTTGTCCCTGAACTGGGCTTCTGTTCTCTGAGCAGTAATTACCATCTCCCTGTGTAGAGCCTTTTCTATGCCCTTGAAGTGGGAAGATCAATCCTCAACCCTAAAGGGCTGCAAAAGTGTCGTCTTCTAATCCTGTCCTGGACATCTTCCGATGTGGTTTGCCTAGTGGGGGAGTGCTGGCCTTCCCCTGTGCCTGTCTGAGAGTTTGCCTTGCTGTGAATTTGTGTAGACTTGTATTGCTTGTTTAGTGTCTTTAAATTTTTGTTCTGATTCTTAAGTAATGAGTTTTAACATAAAAGAAGCACACATATTCTCTCCCTCTTCTTTTTCCCCATCTTGCTCTCTATTCTTTTCTCCCTGTACAGGGATAAAAAGAAAGTATTTTAAAGAAAGCTAATGTAATGTAATTTACCTTTAAAGCTTTTTTTTTTTTCCTATATAATTTTTAAAGGAAATTGTTTTAAATATGAAGGGAAGTCTCAGCTTCTTTCACATGATTTTTATGGAATAAAAAAACCTATCAATTATTAGGGTCATCAGAATCAATCAAGTGATAATGCTTTAGCTAACAGTATTGTTTTTAAAATAACAATACAGAAACAGAATCTAAAAGATAAAATCAAAGCATTTAGAGCCAGAATGCTATCCTGATCCTCACTGATATCATATTAAACACATACCTCAATGACTTAATATTAAAATGCCCTATTTTGTGGGATCAGAGATTTCACAATTACAATTTGCTTTTATGGCTTTGGCTAATAAATGAGGTTTTCATGAATCAACAGTGCACAAATTTTCTTGGGTGAGAGTAGCCAAAGTTTATCTTATTAGAACTTAAAATTCAGTGCTCCAGGCTTCCCAGTACTGGATATCTTATGTAATAATACAAAATATTTTTGTGTTTATCACAAATGAATTTTGGTTTTTGTGTAAGTTGACATTAGTACATCTAAACAACTTAAGTTCTTTTTGTCTACAGTAAATGCAGGTTCTCTGAGATGTTACTTGGGCATTAGAGGCATAACCTCAGATGATTGCTCTCTACCGTGGCCATGTCGGGGCAGGGGCGGCCAGGGCAGAACCCACTGTAGTGCCTGTGAGGAGGTCATGATCATGAGCTCGGGGTGGTCAGGGAGCCATTTCAGATGAAGAGTCACAGCTCTCTGCCAGAAAGGGAAAGAGAGAGGGTAGGGCAGAGACGTTCCCTACAAGAGATGACACTTGGGATGCATGTCAAAGAGCAAATGGAAGCTGGAGAAGAAAGTGCAGAAGAAGGTTCCATACAGGAAACAAGCTTATAGCAATTTTTAAAATCTTAAGTAATTCCATTTAAAAAGATGCACCTCTCTCTCCCAGAACACCTTCAATAATATTAAGGACGACTCTGTTACTTTTGATAAGCCATTTTCTAGGGTCACTGATTGTGGCCTTAGTGCTCATGAGGATAGGTTTTAGTCAACTTTCTAACGGATTAAGACAGTGGCCAGGTGACTAGAAGAAAAACTATTTTGAGGTAAATAAATATATAGTATATATGCACTTTTATAGAGCCACACAATAGATTCAGTACAATTTTAGTTTTATTTTTTGTTATTAGTTAATATGATTATTATAGGAGACACAGGTAGAGACATTGAATACGATATGTGTTCCCTGGTAGTTAATTGAAAATAGCTAATACAAATTGGTTACTTTATGAGTTATATTTTGAAGGGAAAAGTAGTGGTGAAGAAAAACAGAAAACCACTGTAAAGAGGGGTATAATTTTTAGAAATTTGTCACTGAGTTGACTTTGGAATGTATTTAAAATTGTATACATATCTGTTATTGTGTCTGTCTTAAGATGCCAGGTCTTTGGTTACTGGAAGTAAGTCTTCAAAATTCTCCTGAGTCTTCTCAGGTTCTCTCTTCTACCCTTGACCTTGGTTATGCCCTGCCTTTGCCACAGGGCTGAGGGCCCTGAGTTCCAGGGGTCTTTCAGGTGTACAGTGCAGTTCACAGCCAGAATTATCCCGAGCACTGCCAGAAGTAGGTTCTGAGTGTGATGGTTAGCAGGAGCAAGAATGCTCAGGAAGCTGCCCTTCCTTGAACAGTATGCTGTGGCCACAGCCCTAGGACATCAGGGAGAGAGAGAGAGAGACAGAGAGAGAGAGACAGAGACAGACAGACAAAGCAGAGATGAAGATGGACATACTGTAGACCACTCAGTGTCAGTGCTGATGGGGGTGAACTTGAAGCTGTAGGGAAGTCATTTACGCAGCACTGGCTCTCTCCATCTCGCACGTTCAGACTCTCTTCTGGACACCAGGAAAGACAATGAGTTGGCTCCACTCTTGGCCGCCTGCTCATACTTTCATATGCTGTTCATCCGTGTGTTCACAGTGTGCTATGACCTGACCACCTGCTTTCTTCTTCCAGGGTAAGAAGAAGAAGAGGAAGAGGGAGAAGCTGCAGGAGTCTGCATCAGGTAGGTGCCGCGACTCTCCCGTCGCCCTCACACTCCTGGCAGACCCTTGTGAAAGTGGCGGGCGTCTTCCTACATGCTGCTTTATTGTGACTGTTCTGTGTCATTCTTTAACTCTGCTTTTCTTCCTTAAATTCTTGAAATATTTAGAAAGGCCTTTCTTTTGAATGTGGCTACATAAAGGTACATGTAAAAACTCCTTCCCAGCCCTGTCACCTGGAATCCTGTTTGGGAATTATGGTTGGTTTTCCTTTTTTTTGTTTCCTTTTGCCTCTGTTGTCTGTGTTCTTGCTTTAACACTTCCGCTTTATTTATATTTGCATAACTCTTTAAAAACATGACTTTTTATGATGATTATACTACCTTACATTCCCTTGAGAGTCTTTGCTGTGATTTGGGTTTTTAAGACTAGAAAACATGATAATAGGGTTTATCTTTCTTGTGCATTGATTCACGGCATCAATGAGATCCTATTTTAGTTCCCCTTTTTCTTCCATTTAAAATAAGGCCACTACTTGTACCGTACAAATAAAAATGGCTGGTATAAGAACCAAAAAAGTAAAGCAAACAAGTCCACATGATGTTGTAGCTACTACGTATTTGGAATGTACAGAACCCTCTTCCATAAAAATTTGTTAAAGACACAATTTTCTGCAGGTACAGGTCCAAGAATGACAGCTGCCTACATCTGAAACATGGTAAGAACGACTCTCTGGTCCTACTGCTGACGTTAGCTATAAAAAGAGGCATTTGCTTATGAATCTTCTTGCTCATACCAATTTCATTCAGCACTGCTCCTGAAAGAGGAAAACTCCACCAAAATCGAATTAATGCTTTTAAAAGTGTGATGGTTTTTATACCGGCTATATATTTGCAATATAGTGTGCTTTTGATCTTTTCTATCCTTTTTGTCCCATTTATTCTTTCTCCATCCCTTTCCCCCTCTTTATTCCCAATCATTTCTTACTGACTAGTGGCAAATCTGTATGTTTAAAAAAAAAAAAAAAAGAACAAACAGCAGCCAGGAGAGGTGGCACACACCTGAAATCCCAGCAACTCAGTAGACTGAGGCAGGAGGATCGAAAGTTCAGGGTCAGCCTTGGCAACTTACCAAGACCCTGTCTTAAAATAAAAAGGGCTGGAGATGTAGCTCAGTGGTAGAGTGTTCCTGGGTTTAATTCAGTCCCCAGTACCAAGAAAATAAAAACTAGACAGTAAGCAAAATGCCACCCTACTCAGCAAGCCCAAGGCAGATCTGAGGAGCACCATACTAACCCTGCTCAAAGCTGTTTCCCAGTAGAGACTGTCAGTTGAAATGATATGCATATACTTGATTTATCTGTTGCTGGTGAGAAAGACTCATTTGCTTTATTTTTGTTGTTGTTGTTATTTAAAATTATGGCATGGGCACCCGTTTGATTAACTGTATTTCGGTTGTCAAGTGTGTTTCTTTATTAATAACCCTTATTTTCCTTCTTGTGTTTATACATAATATTCATTTCACTTCTTATTACTATAATTCTTTTATTTTTATCCACATGACCACTCACCCAGGGAATCTGGCTTTGCAAATTAAGGCTTGGTCTCTGTCACGCTTTGAACTTGCAGCATGTCTGTGTTTTCTCAGAGTAGCAGTTCCTTTCAAAGAAGTCACCTTTGATCCTAGCCTCTAGAAACCCATGTCCAGTCAGTCCTGGGGGTGCTTCCCTTCCAGGCCTTCCTTGGGTCTTGCCTCTCTGATTTGTCACTCCACAGCCCTTACCAGGTGCTCACACTTCACATTGGGACCATGGTCACAGCCTTTGGAGAATTGTCCTGACTCAGGAACTTTTTATCTGCCAGTTCATCCTCCATATTACTACCAGAGGTATTTCCTCAAACACAAACTGATCACTAACCCCTTAGAAACCATCAGTATTTCATGCCTGAGGGACACAGCACATGCCACTTAGCATGGCTGTACCACTACCCACCTCCATGGTCTTGCCTTTGGTCACTCTTGTTCTCTCTCCTCATTTCCAAAATAGCTCGTGAGACCTGTGCTCTGTCCATAGTTATTAGCAGTTCTCCAAATACATGGAAGGCATGAGCTGCCCCCTTGCTGCTCCCATACTTGGAAAGACCTGTTGCCTCTACCAAGGAATAGACAGACCTGTGCAGAGGACCCTAGGAGATCATCAGCCTGCAGAACATTTGGCTCTTGGCTAAACTAGGTAAAACTTGCCTAAGCTTTTAGAACTTAATCCTGTACTAACATTTCAAACAACTTCCTCATAGAAATCTCCCAACAGAGATTTCAGTACCAAATAGATCTGCATTTCAAATCATCTGTCTAAGCCATATACTTCAGCTTTTAAATCTTTTGTTTCCCTCATCTGTAAAATGGGAACAATGCTACCTCCCACCCTTGGTGGTTGATGGGTGATGAATGCCTCTGGTAGTAATATGTCTCTGCACACACTTGGAGCCCAACAGTTTCTTCCTCTTCCCTAGGGTCAGTGGCCCTCTCCTCTGAGAAACTTTCTTGATCTTCATTCTGGCTCCTCAGGTTTCTCAAATCCCATCACATTACCTTATCACAACTCTTCTAATCTACCCTCACTGTGCAAAACTCTCTTAACACCAAGTTAGCTGACTTTTCTCCCAGTGAAAATACCATCTCTTCACATGGGTGTCCATATAACACATCCAAAAAATAAAATGATCACAAATGATGACCACATTTAATTTAACTTACAGCTATTGTTTGGGGTCTTCTGCTGAGCTGGCTTACTTAGCTCAGGTTTTTAGGAGCACAGAGATGATCTCACCATAGCCCTCCCCAGGGGCTCTTCACCTCAAAAGGAGTCAATCTAGTAAAAAGCACACACTTTGTATTTTTTTTTTTTTATGTTGTCCTTTTCATTACTGACCTTTTAGTCCTTTCTGTGTCCTGCCTATACATGGAAGACCCTTAGCAGTGCCATGTGCCAAGGGCTGCTGCTTAGTGATATACTCCATGTTCTGTTTGCACCAGAATCTTTAAAGCCAACTATTTCTTTCACAAACCATGCAAAAATATACTTCAGTTCCTGAGAGTTTTATATTTGATTTGGTGTTCTTCATAAATAGCATCATTTATTTTGATGCAAAAGCTTCAGCTGAGTCTATCCTACATCCCGTGTGTGTGTGTGTGTGTGTGTGTGTGTGTATTACTAGTATTGAATCCAGTGGTACTCTACCACTGCGCTATACCCTCAGCCCTTTTTATTTTTTATTTTAGATAGTTTCTCTGAGTTTCCCAGCCTGGCTTCAAACTTGGATCCTCTTGCCTCAGCCTCCCTGGTAGCTGGTATTACAGGCGTGGCCCACTGTCCCTAGCTCACATACCTCTTCTTTTAATAACAAGTCATTGCTATGATTGTGTTTTTTTTTTTTTTTTTTTTTTTTTTGGTCACTTACTTTTTCTAAAGGTTACGGTGTCCTCTCTATACAGAAATACAAAGTCCCACCCCCCAAAGTGTTCTCATCAAGCCAGCAGCCACTGGGTGAGGCTCCGGTTGTGGCCTCCCTTCATCAGACCTCTAGCGTTCCTCTCCCTCTCTTTGCTGGGTCAGTTATGCACCCTTGTCCCCACACCATCCTGTTGTAAAGAGCAGGACTGGCAGTCATTCCCTAAGAATGATGAATCAGAGAGGAGCTCAGATTTGCATTTAGAAAGATTTCAATAAATTGGAAATGACGATTGTTCCTCTGCCCTTTTCTTTGTTTTAGGAATTCAGAAGCTTTTCCATGTGTGTAGTGTCTGGCTTTTTTAGTCATCATTCAGCATTGGCTGAGTATCTAGTAAATTCCAGGTAGAATTATAAGTCCTGGAAATGCAGCACTGGATGAGTCAAAGAAGGGCCCTGCACCCCCTATGCTCACTGCTTTGCTGTGAGGATAGTGGATCAAAAATAAACAGGGAAATTTTAAGTGGCATAAGATTAAAAAAGGGAGTGACCTGGAGGTTTGCTTTATGTCGGTCAGGAAAAGCTCCTTTGAGGAGGGAATACTTGGAAATGACCATGGACAGTGATAGGGCATTCTCCTCTGGAACAGAGCAGGGCAAAAAACTGACAGACAAGGGTGAGACAGTGTCGTGCCGTGGACTGTGTAGACTGGGAGCAAGGCCCTCAGCCGTCAGCCTGGGCTTTCTTGGGCTTGAGCTCCAAGGTGAAACTTGGTGAGATCCCTGGCTGCTGCTCCCTCAGGTCCCATTGCCTGGTCTGCACTGCCTCCTGGTGCAATTAAGGAGATGCAGGTCTCCCTGTTGGCTATTTGTGGTCATCACTGTGAGTGGTTCTGTATAACCTTCCAGCATCGGTGGTCTTGGCAATGGCTCAGACGTGGTGTTGTTCACTCTCTGTACAGATCATCTGTGCCCTTTCCCCTCCAGAGTGGCTGCCTTGTGTCCTGGGGGCTCAGGAGTGTTAGTTTGGAGGTTTGGTTTTCACTGTGGAATATAGCTCCCTGTTTGCCAACCTACAGTACCTCTAGAGCTGACACCATCTTACAAACAAGCCAGGGACAGAAAAATGGTTGATCAGAATGAGTCCTGTGAGGAGTGAGGTGAATCTCACATTGCTGGTTTTCAGTTCTGAGGGGAAGATGGCAAATAGAGGTGAAGCTAAGGGAGTCCTGGGCCCAGCAGGGAGGAGACGGTGTTGAGAGGGTTTATCCTTCCATGTACACAGCGAAACTTAACCCTATCTTTGTGTCCTTGAAGAAAATTCCTATTAAATGAGAAAGATCTTTGAGCTTAGATCTCAGTATATATAGCTCAAATTCTTAAAAAAAAAAAAAAAAAAACCCTCTAAAACCTTGGGTCTCCATATCTTAAAGATATCTGGGTTTCATCTAATGCTCTCATGGTTCTGGGGGGAAATGCTGTTGCCGTTGCCTCATGCAGCCCGATGTGGAAGTTCACCTGTCAAGCAGATCCTCAGACATCCACCTTTGTTCCTATCTCCTTGTGTTTCTACTTTGTTGCACTAGAAGAATAGACACTCAAGTGAAGTCAGGTTGAAACAAATTCCGGTTAGCCCAGTGTCAACTTCCGAGAGACCTGTAGGATAATGAGTTCCATAAACATCACCCCCTAGGTTGTAGGTGATTCCCCAAGCTGTGGGATCTTTTGAACAAGCCAGATTCATCCTTTCAGAATTTTGGATTAATCATGGGATGCTGGGAGCCCAGGACCTTAGGGAATCAGAGTGCACACACTCCACAGTGTCTATTGGAATCACAGAAACCAATCATTTGTTTATTAGCTCTGCAAACAACCAGTGAGGGCCTCCTGCAAGTAAGGACCTGCATTAGGGGGCTAGGGATGTAGCTCAGGGGTAAAGTGCTTGCTTAGCGTGTGCAAGGCTCTGGGTTTGATCTCCAGCACTACAGGCAATTAAAACAAAAACAAAAAACTGCACTAGGCAGGGGAGCATTGGGGAATACTGCTAAGTGAGTGAGATCCTACCCTGCTTGGGGGATCCTCCAGTTCTTAAGAGATACAGACATATGAATGGATCATTATAAAATAATATATTTCATCCTGTGAATGAGTTTTATACAGCACCTCATATAAAAATAAAGAGAATTAGTAGAATGTAAGTCAGTGAGATCAAGGAAGGCTTCCCAGAGCAGATGGCACTGGGCTATGAGGTTGGGGAGGGATTGTTGG